GCAGTTTAAGAACTAAATGATCAGGCCAGCTCATGAAAACAACATTTTGAGTTCTGCATTTTTAATATGCAAATTGTGTATATTTTTGCTATCATAAATGTGATTTTTTTCTTTAAAACAGTAACAATCACATTTACTGTTTGTTGCTAATATTAGATTTTCTTCCTTTATAGTTTATCAAGATTACTAAAGCTAAAATAAAAAGAAATTTCCTTTAGCTCTCAGAAATAGAGGACTGGCTTAGATAATTAAAGACTGTTCAGAAAGAAAATTAATTTCTACTTTACCTTCTCCCCGACTTGTGTGTTTGGACAGCACAAGCACAGTACTAACAGCAGAACTTATGAGAGTTACACTGATTCCTCCAAATCTTGTCTCAGAGATAAGTCCCACAGCTCCCTGCAAAGTAATTGGTCTAATTAGGTGGTAGGAAGGAGCTTCTTTAAATTCCTCAGAAATTAAGACGTGTCATCCGCTTAACATCTTAGCATCTGTTACTGCCTCTTGCATGTTTCTCCACAGCATCAGTCTGAAGGACACTTTCTGGACATTTCAGAGAGAGAAAAAAAAAAGCCCACAAGCCCTTAAAACAGAGAAGAAATTGACTTTTTCTTCAGTGGGATGAAGCATGTAAGGCATTTCACCCCCTCCTTATTTCTCAGTTTGGTGCATGTTTGCCTGGGTGAGTACAATAATCACTTTGTTAAGTTAAAATATAGAATACAAGCATGACCTTAAATCCTGTAGTAATCCTTACTGATGGGGTAATGTCATCCTGAAATATTTTCCTTGGCAGCTGATCCTTGTGCAAATGTTACCCTCTGTATTTATATATTTGGAGTTTTGTTTTAAATGGGCTATTTTGAATCTCTAACAGTCAGTCAGTTGAATGACAACTAATTTGTTGTTTCTTGTTTTTTTTTATTTTAAACTTTGTTTGCTGTTGTCTGGCAGCAAGTAAGTAACTATTTAATTATGGCTAATTGCTCATGCAGTAGGCATAATTTTAAGACAGAATATGCTTAGAATGCTGGGTAAGAATGCTGGGTAAGGTACTGAGGCACTGGAAAAGTTTCAGACTTGCCTATGTAGAGCAGGGGAGAGGTGTTCAGTCATTGCAAGGTTAATTTTGCAGTGAAGCTGTCTGGAACTGGTTGAGGTTTTTTAAAGAGCTCCTGCTACTTGTTTTTTTTCTATTGGTTTTAGGTTTCTTCTATACTCTCTCTATTTTCTGCTGTGTGAATACTGGCACAGTGGCACATAGAAATAATTTTATTAAAAATATCTGTACAGATAAAGTTCTGAAAATCCGTTCAGCAACTGGGTGTGTTATGCACTCATAGTATTCCCACAACAGCTCATGTTTACTGAGTCAGGTAACCGAGTCAGCCAAATAACTCCTACCTACAAAATGCTTTTCTTTGGCTTCTGTTTTGTTTCAATTGCAGTTCAGGCAAATTATGCCCCCTATTTCTTTGATAATGGAGCCAGAAGCACAAATGGGAACATGGCACTTTTCAGCCTTTCGGAGGACACACCTGTTGGTCAGTATTAAAATTAATATGTTTAAACTGTGAAACTGGTGTTGCTTGCTCTTTTAATTAACATGTAGATTTTGTTGTAGGTTGTTGCTATAATCTGTGATCTTACATGCTTTTCTCTCAAGCTTCTAATTGGCCTCGATTTAAAATGACAAGTTTGAATTGTAGCTGCAATTTAAAACATGAATTTTAGCTCCCCTTTTTTTCATTCACTAATCTATTCACAGCTTCAGAGCACAGATCTTTGGGGTCAAAAATAAATTCATGGTGGTGAGAGGCTTCTTACTAGTTCTGTAAATGCTTGTGAGAGGAAAGCCTAGTTGCTAGTAATTTTATCAGTCTTGATATAAGCAAGCTGCACATTGAAAACTAAGAGGCATGATTTTCTTTAAATAGTTAACACATTTTTCATGTTTACAGTACAAATGGTAGAAAATGTTTCTACTTGCAGTCTAAATTGCTTTGTCTAAATAACTGATGTTTTCAAAAAAGATTTAGTTTTGTTTTATTGAAAACTCAAAAATTGATACAGTTTTCAGATTTCAGCATTTTGAGGCAGGTCTATTTATGCTTCTTTTAACTGTACTTGCAATAAGAAAAATTAAATAAGAGCAAAAGGTAATTTATAATCAATATTTTCCATGGGGGAAGAAAAATTTCTTAACATTTAAAAATATTTGATGTAAAATATATTACAATCATGAATGCCATGTTTTCTTCAAACTTTGCACTGAGGTTTCGTTTAGGATTTTCGACTGTTTGCCTGTAGCTTTTACAGACTAAATTAGGAAAATATTTTGTTATTGCAAATTGAGTACCAGAGCATCCTTTACTAGCTGCCTCACACACAGAGGAGAGAGATGTCTGCAAAGGGGGTGCACTCAAACATCTCCCCCTCCCAGGACTTATGTAGCTGTAGGAGCTGATGGTGAGGGAAGGATAAGAGGTCACAGCCTTCTCTGGGAAGTCTGACACTGCCACCCACACCTTCCTAAACAAGACCAGAGTCACTCATTGCTTTGGAAAGCAGCTGCCTGGGTTTGCTCAAAGTCTCCATTTCTGATCCAGTGGTGTTAATGCCAGCCAAGATCCATGTTGAGCCTGCTAGAGTAGAGGGTAGGGAGAGGGTGATTGGTTAGCAGTGAATTCTCCTTTACCTGCTCAGCTTGAGAAGAGGAGGGGAAGGCAGCACATAGCATAGAAGCGACTCATCTCGCTGATGAACTTAAAAAGAATTTGCTTATGATGCAGAAGGAATTTGCTGTAAGATTGGTCAAGCTTAAGTGGAAACCTCAGCTGAAGGCCAACAGTAATGTAGTAGTGTAGTAGCACTTGCAAAAGCCAGAGGCAGACCAAGGCAATTTTTGCTGTACTTCTGCCTGGATTCACATGGAAACCACACTTGCTCAGCCTTGGCAATCCCTACAGTTCTGCTGATTGCTGGAGTGAGATTAGCCAGTGGAATCACTTTTCTAAGCACAGATGAGGCTTGTAATGCCAGACAGCCACAAAATGGGACCCCAACTCAGTTTGTTTGGAGTGGTGCTTGCCAACTCCTCCACTGAACCCGCAGGCAGTACAACTCACTTGCCATCAAACTCCCACTCCCTGGTGTAGTGCCAGCTTGAAGACATTTCCAGAGCATCAGCCTCTCTCTGCCACCACTGGGAGCATCCAGCCACCTGCATGGGAATGGGGAGCTAAAGATTGCACAGAGCAACAACACAGTCAAAAATGTCCTTCTGGTCAGGACTGCAGAACCACAAGGTCTCTTAGATGACAGCACTCCCTGCAGCAGTGAAGTACAGCAGTAATTTCCCAGTGCTGGGACCCACTGCATCTGATCTGGGGCTCCAGCAGTGAAAAAAAGGAGAATGTACATGCCTTAACAGCAGAACAGCAGTGTGAGTGGTTAGAACCTGTGTTAGTACTCCTGTAACTAGCCTGAGTAAGAAGAATAATGTGATGGGCTTCTGCATGTGTTTTTGTAACATTAGAAACCAGACTAGATCCCTGGGGAGTTTCTGCTTTGGTGGGAGCAGTGGTAAAGCTCAAGCTGCTCTGTCTTCAGTGCTGCTGTGCCTCATGCCTGCTGGCCTCATCCAGAGCTTGTTTACATGAGTTTAAATTGGCTGGTTTGTACTTGATGTATAAATGTGCTTTAAAAGACAAGAGAGAGGCAGCTTCTTGCTGAAAACTCCTAAGGGCCTATGGAAACCCTTGGAAAGTGAGATAAGACCTTATTTTTGAGAAGTACAAATGTGGTTGCTTTGCCCCGCAGCTGCCAGTGCTTCTTTGGGCTAATTCCCAGAACACCTTGACAAAAAGCTAAGAGTACTGCAAGGTCCTCTCTTCTGAAAGCACATTTGGAAGCTCCATTGGAATGTGGCTGTTTGGGGTTTGCTAAATGCAAACTCTTGCTGCTACCTGCTGCCTGTGCCAGCAGAGTCACTCCTTGGGGATGCTTTGGCAGAGAGGCTCCCAGAGGAGGGCACGAACAACACTGACACCTCAGCAGTGCTGGGTGTGCATTCAAGCTTTGTACAGGGCAAAAGGACCAGTGTTCACTGGTTCATCAGAATGTGGTCAGAGCTTCATGCCAGTGCTCAGTGAGGGCTCACACACTGCTCCTGCAAAGCAGCTACCAGGCTGGTCCTTTTCTGTGGCCACAATGATTGGTATCACACTGCAGAGGAGGCTATTGTTCATTACTCTGTCCTGACCTCCTCCAGAAACAGGAGAAGGAATGTCCTCTCCCAAGTCCACATGCAGTCCCAAGCTTCCATACTCCAGAGTTGTCTTTCAGTTTAAGCAGGATGATCAGTGGCAAAATAGGGGTGTTAAAACTTCCATATGTTTGATTCTGGATGGTTTCACTCAGGCTTATGTGCTGCAAAAATGGACAGGTTGCTATTATGTCTTCCCTGTCCTTACATAAATTTTGGAGTAATAGGAAGGGTGCTTTTCTTGGCAGCAGCCAAGCACTGCCACAGACAGCAGCTTCAATAAACTTCCAGGAATTTTACAGTCTTTGGCCTTGCTGAGATTGCAAGCAGTTGGCAAAGTGTTAGTTATATTCCCAGGCATCTGTAGACAAGGGACATGCAGCATTTTGGAACATTGAAAGGAGGCGATGGATTCTCTGTGTGACTGTACAAAGAGAAATCGCAGGGCTGTAGCTGCATGAATACATCAAATTCATTGCCATACTCATATCATCCTTAACTTGACCTTCTTTTCCCTTGACTAATTTTGCTTATTTACAGGTAGTTGTAACTTGTCTACCAAGTTGCATATATTGTACCATAAGTTATCATAAAAACAGCAGATGCTATTTCTGTGTGAATGCTTCAATGTATCTGCAGATTCCTAGATCCTATTTATTGCTGCAGAGCATGAAACCTCCTCAAGGACCAGAACAGAAGCCCCTTCCAGTGCCAGATTTAAGAAGAATGGGAAAAGTTCTCAACTGAAATAGTAGTTGTGGTTTGTGTGGCTGTTTGGCAGGGTAGGTGGGTAATTAGTTCTTTGCAAAGAGTCGCCTGTGTACACACAAAATGTGCGTGTGCTCTTAATCAAGGTCTTAAGGCAGGAGTGGGATGCTATTTCAGGTTGTTTGTTTCATCTTACCTCGTAATCCCTGTAAGCCCTCATAGTGGGGACAGAGTGGAGCTGGGAACAGCTGAAGAGATTGAAGCATATTCAGAAGGCCTGAATTCATTGCTTTCTCAAAGCCCAGGCATCAGCAATGCTTTGGAGATCTTTGCATGCCTCTCTTTCTTGCACTTTCTTTCTGTTTCTCCTCTTGCCCCCTCAAGAAGGCAATCCCCCCAAAAAAGCTAGTTTGCAGTGGCAATTTTTTGGTCATAGCTATATCCACCAGCTACTGGCTGACTGACCCCTTCAAGTCCCTGCATCCTTCAAGCTTCCCCTCTTCCTACATCCTCCTGCTCGTTTCTTCCTGTCATTCACATATAACTGGGACTTTCGTCCCCTCTGGTACCTGCCATTCCTTCCTTGTTTCTATCACCCTGACCCACCCTTAGGAAAGCTGGAAGCTGCCAGAAGTGTTAAACAAAGCCTGCCTTCTGCACACTGTGGCAGAGATAGCAGTGCACAGAATGAAGTCCCCCACAAAGCCCCACAGAGATGTACTGAGGACTTGCAGGTGTTACAGCCTTCAATTTGCTTTTAATTCTTCTTACAAGAACTGAAGATAGATCTTAAAATTGCCCCCAGATCCTTCTCTTTGGAGCTGGCTGTTGTGGATGCCACAGGGACACACTGCTGCTGTCCATGCTGTGGTGTGTTGGGCCCCATGCTGAGTGCTCACTGAGATATCCCCTCTCCCTGCAGCAGGCACAGCAGGGTCTGTTTTGGCTGGTGCTGTAGCAGCCATGGCTTTTGGGCAGATGGTTCTGGCCATGTATCTGCAGAGAAGGAGCAGGAGTCACCTGGACATGATCCAGAGGGAATAGTACTTAATAGGAAAGGGACTGTTTTTGAGGTAGTTGTGGTGTGCGGTCCATGTCCTCCAGGAGCTTGAGCTCTCCTTTGCTTGGAGTGAGCCTGAAGTGTAAAACAGCCATCTACAGTCTTTGTGTTTTCCCTGCTGGGAAAAAGGCCCTAGGCCAAGACAGGTGGACAGCAGGCATGTAACCCTGGGCAAGATACTGGGAACAGAAGTGTCACATCATAGGAACAAGGCCATAGATTTCCCTCTCAGCATCTTGTTAACAGATGTCAGCTGTGGTGGCAAAGGACAATGGTGGGACTGAGCATGAGTCCAGAATGTGCTTGGCTTGTTTAACTGACAGAGAGGGGATTTGATTGCTGAATGTGACACAGCAGAGAGGGAGAACATGTCTTCAGTGAGTGGGCAAAAGCAGCCTCAGAGCATGTGGGCAAAGGCAGCCCATGATTAAATATGAGACAAAAATGAAGTAAAATGGAACAATAGCATCATGGATCAGCCATTCACCCTGAGTGGCAGGAGCAGAGAGCATATGACACTTGTGAAGGAATAGGAAAACAGAGTGAAAGCCTGGCATGGCTCCTGGGAAGCAGCCATAGCAGGAAGCAGTGACCATCTCCCCAGGACTCCCCTGTCCCAGCCTGCTGCATCATCCCCTAGGTACTCAGACCATCCACCTCTTCCAGCTGGGGACCTTACATGGCATTTACCATATCCCCAAGTCTCTTCTATTGCCATATCTTTCTGACATGGAGAGGCTGTTTACTTGGCATTCACTGATAAGATTTTAGCTGTCTTTTCCATTTATTTCCTTTTCAGTGAGTAGAGGCAGCACACTGAGAAGAGATTTTTAATTGGTGTTAACACTATGCTGAGAAGTGTTCCCAGGGGCGTTAATGATATGGAGAGTACTGTGCAGTAAAATTACAATTCAGAAGAAAATAAGGAATTATAATGAGTTAGAAAATAAATTTTGATCCACAATCCAATTTAAAAGGCATGCAAGTGTTCTGTATTATGAAAAAATGAAATATCAGCTTTAGTTAGAAAGCAAACAGTCCAGTCTAAAGATCAGTGATGTCCTTCATTACTTGATCAGAAACCTCAGCAATCTCAGTCATCTCAGTCTATACCAATACCAGTGTTTCTTCTTCCATTTAGCAGCAAGAAAAATCCTATTTTCCTTAAAAGAAAATTCCTAGAAAATGTAGGAAAGAAATTTGAGATTGGAAGAACAATCCCAGGTTCAAATGTGTTCACATAAACTTTCACAGCCTGTTCTTCTCCAGCCCTGTGATCCCTGAGGAGTGGTCAGCAGTTCATGTACTACCAGCACTGTATTTCAGGGCAGCCCCAGACACAGCACTAGACTTTGTGCCTGGTCATTGTCTGCAGGCTCCAAGAGACCACAGATGCAGTGTCCATTCTGTTTCTCCACTGTACAGAGAGCACTGTTCAGCAGCTGCTGCTGACATCCCTGCAAACTGGAAACACACAGGACAGCCAGCAGTATTTATAGTGGAAGGGACAGGAAAAGTGGAAAAGCAACTAAGAAGTAGAAACAACTAATGACTGGAAAAGCCTAAAGAAAATCATTGTATTTATAACAATGTCAGTGGGGTGCTGAAAATTGACACCTGAATACTCCATTTGGCCCCAACCATGATATTAAGACAAAGCTTTTGAAAAACAAGAATAAATGAGTCAGTGTTGGTGTTGCAGAACCTTCAACAGTCTTCAAATTTCTGTCTTTTATGTAGACAGCTATATCAGGAAGCAGGTGTCCTTTCAGGGCACTAATTTCTATGAGCCACAGTTTATTCCTTTCCTTACATTTCCTTGTATTTAACACAGTTTAGTTGTGACAGTCAGAGAAGTGTCTCATCACATTGTTCATTGTCTT